ACATTCACATTCACATTCACATATACATACATACATACATGTCCACATGTCCACACATCCACACATCCCTCCATCCCCCCCTCCCTCCCTCCCTTCCTCCCTCCATCCCTCCCCATCCATCCATCCGTTCATTGCATGTATGCTTGCTTACTTACTGTACTTACTTACGCAGCTACACACTGACTGACTGACTGACTGGCTGACCTACTCACTTACTCAATTGCTGACATACTTACACATGCATGCCGACAGACACACGGACACAGATGATTCATTTCTTCGAGGTGATCCTCCTCCAAGTCACCGACATCTGGGGGAATGCTCGCATCCAGTCGCTATTCCAGCCCGCGCCCAATCCGTCATGTTCAGCTAGTGTGTTTGTGTGTGTGTGTGTGTGTGGTTCTACTCGCTTCACCCTCAGCACACCTAACATCCAGCTTGCCGCAATTCCGAAAAATGGACCAGTAGCATCCTGCTGCCTTGCACAGTAGCCCCAGGCGGTAGGGTAGGGCATTTTTTGAGACATATGGCAACTGGCAGTCGGTTCATCGGTTCGTCCGTTGTCCAAAGTTGTCCAACCCCAGTTGTCTCAGAGGACCTGACCGGCAGCTGGAACAGCCCATCCGAGATCCAATCCGTTGAACCCCTGAAGCTCGAATCTGCGGACGTCTTCTTTTCCAAGAGTTAGGCCCGGCCATGATGGCACAGAGAACGTCCGAACCAGTGTCTATCAAGCAGAACTTCAGACTCTCAGCCTCTGGAAGCCGAAACTTGAAAGCGGCGCTGTCGAACTTCCTCTGACGATCAGACGTCTTGCTGTCAGCTATTCCACCTCAGGTTTCGGTGATCAGTCTAAGTCTAACTCAACTAGTCCGGGGACCTTAACCTTCAACCTGGGTCAGACCTACACCTTGAACCCTTGTAAGTCCATACGCCCAAAACCCTCAGAGGGTGGATTCTGAGGGTTTTGAACCTGGAGAGTTGTAGATCCCGAAACCCTAAATCCTTAAACCCTAAACCCTAAACGCCTAAACCCCTAATCCTGTCCTAAACAAAGAGGCCTGATCAATCTCAGGTGGCATGCAGGGCTCTCGGACGAGGAGCGGAGCGGCACGAAGCCCAAAGGCCGTTTCACTGTAATATACTATAAGATATTATAACAATAGTATAATAACTAAGTATACTACACTATACTATAGTCGTATGCTAATCTACTATGTAGATTATAGCGCGTACTATACGAACCTACTGTAGTATTTTACGTATGTTTTAGTACTCGTTTCGGAAGGGTTCTCAAGGTTTCGGATGTTTGGTATTTTGGGTTGCAGAGTTTCATTCAGTCTCTTACAGGTTGTTTTGCGGGTTTGGTGGTTTAGGGTTGAGGGTTCAGGGCATGATTAGTGTCTCCTTTTGAGAAGCTGTTGATGTTCCCCTCACAAGCAGTTCGTTGTGTGTTTTTCCGAGAACGTCACGGATTTTGGCTTGGGGGTTCGGATTCGGGCTTTCAAGCTGATGCAGTGGCAGGGTGATGCCCCTGGGTTTGTTGCTGAGTTGCCATGCTGTCCGACCTTGCGATTGTACTTTCAAACCGGTTTTTGCACGTGTGCGCAGGCGGCGCCCTACTGTTGCCATAGAAAAAGAAAGCGCATTCTGTGAAGCAACCGTGTAGGTGTAGACTTTGCTGGCTGCTTCTTAGAGAAATGTGCGCCGGGGCCATGCTGCTGTCATGAACGACATATACCTCTCCCAGTCCCTGCGATCCTCAAGCACTTAATGGCGTTTCAAGTTGGATTGCAACTTCTCGATGTTCCGAGCAACATGCATAGACGTATATACATAGATCGGCCCCTTCAAGCGCCCGGATTCCGCACCCTGGCCCTATGCAGTTCGCATCGCTGAAAGTTGCGAGGCCAGCCGGGCGCTGCAGTCTAAAGATGTCTTGTTGGTTATGCAGCAGTTTGATGGTTCTGAGTTCAGGGACTCTGGACAAGCACTCACAAGTAGAGATTCAGGCTAGTTGATTCTTGGACAACGAACGACAACGACATGGTACGATTGGCACGTCGTCCAAAATGCTTTGGCTTAAGACAACACTGTATGATCAGTTGCATCATCCGTGTCAGCAGTCCTCATCAACTGTTTTGTTGTCGCTGTTCGAGTTGCTGGGGTTGCGCTTAAGGTGATGGTGGTGGTGCTGGTGTTGGTGGTGCTGGTGGTGGTGGTGCTGGTGGTGGTGTTGATGATGGTGGTGGTGGTAGCTTTGGTGGTGGCGGTGGCGGCCTGCAGAACAGTCACACTGCTTGCAATCGTGTACTTGAAAGATTCCAGCAGAGCAACATCATGACTGATGCTGCACCCTCCAACACAGGACGAGCAAAGCCTCGGCAGTGGGGACTTGGATGCCTCTCGCGCCAGGGCCCTGTTTCTCTCGGAGGGGCTTTCAAGTCCAGGTTCTCGATTCAGCTTCTGGTGGTTTGGGTGTTCAGACACCTGGAGATTTGGGGCCATGGGGCGATTCCCCACCCTGCAAGGCAGCCACAAAACCAGAAGAGAGTGACTCCTCAGCTGGTGGGTTTCTATGGGCAGCCTCGACACAGCCGTTTGGCTCTAGCTATAGTTTAAAAAGCAACGAAGGAAAGGATCTCTCGCGCAGTGGAAACATGGGACCCGCAACGCTGACCTCCGTGAGCGCCGCGGTCGTCGACAAGGCAAGGAGCTGCCGAAGCGAAGAGTGTGGGGATGGAGGGGCTTAGAGTTTAGGGTTTAGGGTGGGTCCTGCTGGTATCAGAAGGCCCTGATCCCCGTATCCTCAATTCCCACTGGCCGCATGGCCCTCATGTACTGGGGGAGTTTCGGGGGTGTCGCGCAAGCCCAGAACCAGCTGCGCTGTAGCTTTAGGCTATATAGTGCGGCTATAGGCGACTTGTGAAAGGCGACGCTGCAGTTGCGCTGATCCTCTGTTCATGGTCTGCGAAAACTGGTTGAAAGCCTGATGCCTTCCCTGCACTTTCTCCCTTTGAAAATAGCCCCTCCTGGGCGAGGTGGAGGTGAAGACCGCCTTGGTCTCCGTCTTCGACAAGGTGGGTTCGCTTGGGTTCGCTTGGGATCACGAGGGTTCCGGTTCCGTCTCAGGAACCTACCTTCCACTCAAGCTCTGATGCCTCCGACTCTCACGTGGGAGTTTCACGCTGATTGTTTTTAAAAAACCACCCTCTAACCCCGTGCTCCCTGTTTCCTACTCTTCAACAACTATATTTTACTATGTCGAACTATGCATTTTACTTTTATAATGTACTAGATTATAACGTTATAACTTCCCCCCCCCCCCTTGGACCTGTGAAGGCTGGCTTGGAGGATTTGGGAAAGTTCCTGGCCTCCAAGGGCCGGGATGCTCAGAGGATTTAGGGTTTAGGGGGTTTAGGGTTTAGGATTCGGGTTTAGGGTTTAGGATGCAAGACTCCCGAGACTTCGTTTGCCTGGGGGGTGTAGGGAGCTTAGAAAATCTTCGGTGGGGTCAGGGTTTTTGGGGGGATATCGGGGTTTGCGGATAGTTTTTGGGGATTTTTGCGTGCAGCTCTTGAGGTTTGCAGATATCGAGCTTAGGGAATGGGTCTTGTGTATGTTTTGAGCATCTGTTCGCCCTACTCCGAGCTGCTAAATCTTGCTGCTCCAGCTGGAGGCTGCAATGATCTCTTGCTTCTCAGTATGTTTAGCGCATTCACCATCCTGACCGTCCCGAATGAAAGCGTTGAATGCCCAGGCGTTCACATCCTTTCCACGGGCGGCACGGCTGCAAAGCTTCGCGACCTGGGATGCACTGTCCAGGCGCTCGGGTTTGGGGCAGGGTGAGCAGAATTGACTTGAAGTTCGTTTGGGGGCGTAAGACTCTTAAGATATGGTTGTGATCGTTTATGTTTCCCAAAGGCCGTTGCAGCTGAGTGGGATGCTGCGAGCTTCTATGCGCGGATGTTACAGTATGTGTCAGCAAAACGGGGGCACCTATATTTACATAACAAGAAGGACGGCTAAGCAGAGGCCATCTAAGAAAGGATCGCCGGTCTCGAACCGTCCGTGTTTTGCAGTCATCGTGCTCGAGCCTAGGAACAGGCAGTGACACCGCTTGTATCCTCAAATGTCCTTCTTTGCTCCGCAGCTTGCAGCCTATCTGCGAGCGCCACGAAACAAAGGACCCCAAATAGAGCATCCAAATTTGCAGGATGCTTATAAGAAGCGACCCACACAAAAAGCCCCAACTACATCCAACTACTGTAATCCTGACAGTGAGGGGCCCGCGAATGGAACCCAGAATAGTAGGATCATAATGTCATTATGACAAGAACACCATCCGCTTTGGTGCAGGATGTCGCCGACTACACGGGGTCCCCGGAGATCTTGGATGGCCGTGTGCCCTGGGCACGATTGCTGGGGGGGGGGGTTCTTGAATCCGGGCGTTTTATGGTTTAGAGCTTAGGATAAGGCCGGGTAAGGCTTTCAGTGATGTTTTTGCTTTTTTGTTTGTTTGGCTGCTTTGTGTCCCGCCGGGCACGCTGAGAGTGTCTACGTTGGGGTACAGATGGCTTTCAGAGATTCTCTATCTCTGCAGGAGGGAGTTGCCTCCGCGCATGATTCTTATATCAGAGTTACTATGATAATTATTATGAGGTTATTAGAGTCTGACTGTTGTTATGACCATCAGCCTTCCGGTAAGGGTCAAAGAGTTATTGGTGCTTGAAGGCTTCTTCCATCAATGTTCATGGACGTCTCTACATGTTCTGTTCGGTGCTCGGCACCCCCGGGACGGCGAGGGTTCTGGAGGAGTGAGGCTCCTTCTAGTCTAACTGGCATACCTAGAAGATGACGATTCGCCCAGGCCCACTCAGGATGAGAGTAAGAACGTCTGAGAATCTGAGAATTTGTAGACTGCTAGACCTTGAGTTGCCTGGACAAACGCGAAGGCTTTCCTCTGTTAGCTTTGCAACCTCCCCAGAGATTAGGTCGACGCTTCTCGTAGGGCCCTGTAAGTTACCTGATGCATGCAAGCTGCTCTAGCGTCGGACACCAGCACCTCCCTCCGGATGACTGGATTTCGCATTCGATTGCTGATCTGTCTTTCCCGGTCGGGCCATTTTTCGAGAGCACAGTTTGCAGCCACCGCACATTGATGTGGAGGCCGTGCGCACGAATTCCACACACAAATTCCTCCCTTGCTGGCCCACTTGCCAGTTCGCTTGTTCGCGCAGCCGCGGATGCTTGACGGCCCAAGCCGGTGCAGGAGTGAAGTCCCAAAGCCAAACCCTGAGCCCCCACTAAATCCCCTGACCCCAAGCCTGCTCAGGTGAAGACACTCCACCCCAAGGTGCACGGAGGCCTCCTGGCCGCGCGCGGCAACGCCGGACACGAGGCAGAGACCGGGTGTTTGGGGTGCGGGCAGGGATTCTTTGTGGCTGTCCTAGGTTTGAACAGGTTTGCATGTTTTTTTTTGCAAAGGTTTCATAGGGTTCATTCTTGAGTTGTTCGAGGCATCTCAGCACGATGTTTATGTTTTTGGCTGTTGTTTGCCCATGTCATGCGATCTAGCGAAAACAACCCTTGCCTTGCAGCTGAGAGAAGAAGCTCATCATGCATCGTGATCTGAACGTCCCCAGAAGCTTCAAGTTTTGAGCATATTTTGTGATCCCAGGCGGAGATGGAGAAGCACGGCATTCGAAAGATTGATCTTGTGGTGGTCAACCTGTCACTTGGGCTTCTTCAAGATTTTCGGGGCGTAGGGATTCGATTTCAATTCTTCGGGGTTCAGTTCACTGTCCAGGGCTTTGTCGTTCGGAGATCGAACCAGAAGCCCATTGAAAAGGCAGCAGTCTTGACAACATTGAAAAGGCTTCCTCTTCTTCCCCATGAAGACATGTTCCGCGCCGACACCCCCTCAGATTTCATAGCCACTCCTGCCCAATCTCGTGCGGAAACATGTGCTGAGTCTCCGATTTGCAGCATCAAATTTGGGCTCAATTGTGGACAGAAAATTCCTGGAGCTTCGGTTTGAGTGATCCATCTCAGCACCGTCTTGTTCTGTAGTCCTTACTCGTTGTTTCTCCATGAAACTGTTACTTCCAAAGCATATAGGCAACGAAGGCTCTCGATCTGATTGCAGACATTTTGCTTTGCTGAGCTCACCACCAGCCCCTAGTAAAAGAAGACTGCTACTTCCAGGATGGAAGAATATGTAATCTGTAATTAGCGAGACAAAATCGAAACAAGGGCAATAACACGATATTACTGTCGTACTTCATAGCCCCCCTCGCAAGAAAAAAGCACTCAGCAAGTCGAAAGGTATCCATTCCAGGAGGCTGTTGCCAAAGGCGGGGCCCTGACTTGCTGGGAGGCTTCCTGCGATTTCAGCTTCCTGCAGGCACCTGTGAATGACAGGCCCAGCAATGGCAACTTTCAGCTGTAATGAAGACGAGGGTGAGGCGAAAACGAGGATGCACCAGCCGAGTTTTCAGAGGAGTCATAGCAGCGATGCTGGTTGTCACAACTTCACAGCTCTAAAAATTTTCGCAGACAGAAACGTCGGTTGGAGGCTAGGTTCTTAGAGTCTAGGGCAGTTTAGAGATTGGGTTTGAGTCCAGGTGGGGATTTCGCCACCTGCATCGAGAACATCGACATCGGCGGCCCAGTGACTGTGGCTGCAGATAAGCCAACTCCGGGTGTGTTTGGGAGGACCGCACAGGAGTCATTGCGACGATTAATTGTCTTGCATAAACCCGGGGTACTGAACATGTCGTGGTTTGATTTGCGTTTTTCTGGGGTTGACGGGATTTTAGATGCAGCCTTGCGGATTGGGGGAAAGGGGTGCAGCTCACCTGTTCAGTCCAGCCCCCTCCAACATGAGATGTTATGAAAGGATGCTCATACCAAGGCCCGTGAAGAAAGGGGTTTATGAAACGCCCAGTCCNNCCCCCCCCCCCCCCCCCAAAGAAACACCTTGAAAACCCTGAGAAACGGTGTCCGGAAGGCACTTAGACAGACCCCTTGCAATGTGAAACCTTTATTTAGAGCCCCTTACAGAGGCCCCCTTGTAATCTAGAGCCTTTCTGAACACCCCCTTCTAGAACTCAGTTATGACCCGCCCCAAAAGGCGATGATCCGAGCCTCCGCGAAGAACAATGCTGCCGTGACCATCCTTACCAGCCCCAGCCAGTGCCCCGTAGGACTCGGGGGGCGCATTCGCGAGGGTTCAGGGCTACAATAAGGTCTGGGGGTGAAGGTTTAGGGTTTGAGGGTTCAGGTTTTCAGGGGTTTTATAGGCTTATAAAATTGAAGGTTCAAGATGTAGGGTTCGGGGTTGGGGGTTAAGGGCATTCATAAGTCAGACGACCATGCTAGGTCCTAGATGCTCCATTTCCACGGTTCTCCGAGGAGTATCTTCATGGAGATATGAGAAAAGGGCAGATAAAACCGAATCTCCTGCCGTGGCCATCAAGCACCTCCAGCAAATCGGCCCTGAGTTGACTTCAGCTTGTCTTGTTGCGGGACAAGGTTCTCTGCTTCTCCATGCTAGACCCTGGCAGGGCGTCGAAGCTTTGGCAATTTTTTGGATTCGAGGTTCAGGCATCGGGCGGGACCCCAGTGCATGACAGGTACGGCACCTTCATGCAGCAAGTCTCCGACAACGCTGGCTGCACAACTTTTGTGTTTCGGATGAGATCTTATGTGACTTATGTGTGTTGCCAGATTCTGGTGTGCCAGACAATACTCAACTTTGGTACGTCCTTCGTCCTTTGGGTACGTAGAGGCTCCTAGGGCATCCGGTGTCTGTTTCCAAAAGCTGAAACACACAACCTCCGAAAAACATGCGTGATCACGAGCACATCTGCGCAGAACCTTTTCGCAATGGATCTTGTCCCATACGGCTTTCCCTACCCTGGCTCGGGCAGCTGCGTGCCATTCCTGTAGTTGCGATGAAGAGCCGAGCTGTGTTTTGTAGAAGCAGAAGGCCTCGCTAGTCCATATGCCTATCAACATCTACAGCAGTCGCACTGGAGGTTATGCCCCTATATGGCTTGACAAGCATGCGCAATAAACCATCAGTGCTCAGCTGCCACTAGGTGGACACTACCACTTAGGTGTCTTGCACACAGCTGGAGTCGAGTGCTGGAGATGTCGATGTTGCATCGCGTGGTGGTTGGGTTTTGTGATGAGTCCCTTGATAAGGAGCTTATACGCACCCTCCACCTCCAAGCAGACTTTTGGGTGCCACAGAGAAGCATGGCTCGGAGCCGTTGGGGTGTCTGCGTGCAATGCCAAGGCTTTCCGCAAGAACATGGCCGCAGCTGCTTATGCGCTCACCTCGTCCTACGACTCGGCCGTGAGCGCATGGATGGCCGGCGAGGCGCAGTTGTGTTTGGGGGTTGCGGCTTTCCAGTGAAGGCTTTGTTTGCTTACGGGTTGATACTTGGTAACATAGCCTTCAATTGCTAACCCTGCCAGCACGGTGTAATTTTGTCAGATCCCGTGCTGTCGCAGCGTCCTGTGTCAGCTGCATCGAAGCGAAAGTCTTATTGTCACTGCACGGTCGTTGGCATGGACATTCTTTCAGCAGTCTATGCGAACTTAAGTTCAGACAAGACCAAACTGGCAGGGCTTCGCGTACAAGGACCTTGATTTAGAGAACCACCACTTTGCAGAGCTATCAGGTGTTGCGGATGTTCCGCGGGTCCTTTGTTTTGAGGAGGTCTCAGGAGCAACACTCAGAACTACCTGGCTCGGCTTTTGAGACTCGGACGGATGGAGATGATCAATTTAGCACCTGAGCTGTCCGACCCGTGGGAAGGTGACTGAGCCGCCCGCGAAGAAGACCCTCACCTTTGACCTGCAGATGCCGCTGAAGTGCCCCAGTCAGACCTGCAGATGAAGCAGAGCACCAAAGCTTTGACAGAATAGGGTAATGCTGTGGACGTGCAAGAGACACCCTTGCGACGAAGTTCGTCGAACCCCGCCGCCGTTCGCTGAACCCTCCCCCGAATACTAATTCCAATACGAATACTAATATTGTAATACTACTATACTACTGTTACTACTATACTACGACGACGACGACGACTAC